GCCTTTATTTATTTTTATGTGGTGCTGAAGATCCAACCCAGTACCTAACACATGCTAGGCAAGCACTCCAACACCAAGCAAAAGCCCCAGAAATAATTTTATTCATGTTAAATTTTTCTGATTTCAAAAACAATGATGAAATTGGTAGTGTATTTGGAAATTGTAGAAATTTGGGAAAGTCCCAATGTGAAAATGAGGATTCCGATTCAGATCAGCTGCACCCAATGTTACTAATTTTGTATCATCTTCATATTTGACAATTATAGTTAGGGTCTTCTTTTTTGGTACTGGAGATTGAACCACTGAGCTACATACCCAGCCCTTTTTATTTTTTATTTTGAGATAGGGTCTTACTGTGTTGCTGAGGGCCTTGTTAAGTTGCTGAGGCTAGCTTCAAACTTGTGATTCTCCATCTGAGCCTCCTGTCTCTGAGATTATAGGCATGCACCACTGGGCCTGGCTCAGAGTACTTCTTTTATGATGTAGCGTTAGTAATTTATTTTATGACTAACTTTTTTTTTCATGTTGAGGATTGAAACCAGGGCCTTGTGCATGCAAGGAAACCAGTCTACCAACTTAATTATATCCCTAGCCCTAGGACTAATTTTCCCTGAGCTGTTATTATGAAAGTCTTTTCTCTGCTGTGAATTTTATCCAGGCAGAGACAAGGAACCAATTGCAAACAATTGCTTGTCTTACTGAAATTTTTTAAAAACTTGCCAAATATGAAGTGCCTTACTATTCAAACTTATCTTTCAAATTCTCTGTGTTAGAAATATCCCATTCAGGGCTGAGGGGGTGGGGCAGGAATAGGCAGTGGTAGAGCACTTGCTTAGCATACCAGAGACCTTGAATTCAAACCCCAGCAAAGGAAAGGAGGGAGGGAAGGAGGGAGGAATTATTTCCTTCAAACTAACCTGATCAGATTAGGAAATATTATAAATCCTCAATATTTAAAATGGTATGGTACTATACTATGAATGGACAGATCAATGGAATATATAATAAATTGTGAAATTGGGCCAATAATAGGACTTTTGATTATGATGAAGGTGACATTGTTCTCTTAAATCTCAGTGAGATTAAAAAAAAAATCTATTTATTTTCTATGTGGTGCTAAGGATTGAACCCAGTCACACATGCAAGGCATGCACTCTACCACTGAGCTAYAGCCCCAGGCCTCTCAGTGAGATTTAAACTACAATCTGCTCATTCCATCCTCCACCAACCTTTCTGGTCCCCTTTATTCTGCTTCCCCAACCCCCCACTTTTTACCCATATTTCATTTCCTAACTTCTACATAATTATTTGTTGTGTTTATTTTTTATTGTCTGAATCCCCTTCCAAAAATGTAAACTTTTTGTTTTGTTTTCTTTTGTTCAAGCACCCAGGATGTAGTAGCATGTAGTAGGTACTCAGTAAACTCAATGAATGAATGACTCTCAAATCAGTGACAAAAATATGTAACTTACTATACAGTAAGGGTGTTGGACAATTAATTGGTAGCCATCTAGAGAAACAGAAAAAAAATACATTGATTATAAACTTCACATGACATACCAGGAAAAGAATCTAGATAAATTAAAGGCATATAGAAAGGTAACAAACATAAAAGTAATACAGAAAAGCCTGGGGAAATTATTATATAACCTTGGAATGAGAAAACTTCTTCAAAATATAATACCATAAATAAAAAGATTAATAAATTTAATTACCAAAATAATTCCACCTGGCAAAAAACACTGTAAACAAATTCAAAGACAAATTACAAACTAGAAAATAATGCAATTCAGTTTACACACACAACAAATTATGTTTCCAATATTTAAAAAAAGGCCTGAAAACAGAGAAAAAGAAGACCAGTAATGTAATAGAAAAATTGGCAAATGCTATGAACAAAAATTAATGGAAGAAAAAAAAAGCAAGTGGAAAGATGCTCAATTAAAATCACATTGAGATGTCATTTGTTTTGCCTTTCAAAGTTCAAAAGTTTGATGATCCACAGAGATAATGGATCTATAAATATGAGCTRTCAAACATTATTAGTGGAAATGTGAATTGGTGTAATGTTATAAACATCTTCCAAAGGATGAAAAGAAAATGACAACTTTACCAAAGGCCAAATGTTTTCTCTGTTAAGCAGATGCTGATCCATAATGCAGGTGGGGGGTTGGGTAGGGGAGAAGGAAGGAACTCTGTGGATTGTGCAGATGGGAGGGAGGGGAGGGGAAGAGGGGGTGAAGAGGGGAAGGGCAGTGGAATGAGATGGACAGTATTAACCTATATACATGTATGATTATACTACTGTATYATGTACAGCCAGAGGAATGAGAAGTTGTGCTCCATTTGTGTACAATGTGTCAAAATGCATTCCACTGTCCTGTATAACTAATGAGAACAAATTAAAATAAGAATGACAACTGTGGCTTTGTTTGGGGGAAGGTTAGTGGGAATTGGGTCAAGGACAGGGGTGGGAGGGAGACGACTCTTCTCTATCTCCCCTTTCATGCTGTTGGATGTTTGTACCTTGTGAATGTGTTGTCTGCTCAAATTTTTATCTTAAAAATAACTATAATCAGTCTTTGCCAATTTCTAGTTTCTGGAATTTTTATTGGGGCTTTATTCAATATACAGATCTACTTAGGGGAGAATTGACATCTTAATACTGAATCTTCCAACCCCTGAACAGAATATGTCTCTTTTGGTTGTGGGTCAGTGATTTTGTGTCCATTTCTGACTAGTCCTGGTCTGTTGATTTTTTTTTTTCTTACATTGTCTTTATTTGGTTTTGGTAATGCTGGATCATAAAATGAGTGCTATTTCATTTCCTGAGTTTAAATTGATGTTATTCATTCCTCAAATGTTTGGTGGACTCCTCTAGTGATGCCATATGGACCTGGAGTTTCATTTGTGGAGAGATATTTAATTACGAGTATTGTGTGAATATATATATTTATTTGATATATATTCCTAAACAAATTTTAAAAGTCAGCCAAAGGCTGGGTTATAGCTCAATGGTATAGCGCTTGCCTAGCTTGTGTGAGGCACTGGGTTGGAATATCAGCATCACATATAAAAAATAAATAAAGGTCCATTGACAACTAAAAAATAATATTTTTAAAAAGTCAGTTAAAAAAAAAATATATATATATATATTTGATACTGGGGATTGAACCCAAAGGGACTTTACCCCTGAGCCACATCCCCGCCCTTTTTATTTTTTAAGACAGGATTTCACTAAGTTGCTCCAAGCCTAAGTTGCTGAGGCTGGCTTTGAACTTTCAATCCTCTTTCCTCAGCATCCCAAGTTGCTGGGATTACAGATGTTGACCATTGTACTTAGCTTAAAATGTTTTTTTAAGACAGTTTTACTCAATTGTATGTAATGGCATAGAAATAGAAAGTCTAAGTTGTCAATTTTTGGCATGAAGTTATTGGAACTATTTTCTTTTCATACTTTTAAAATTCATAATATCCATAGTGATATTCCTTCTGTCTTTTAAATTGGTCATTTGTATTTTCTCGCTTTTCTAGATCACTGTAGCAACAATTTTTTTTTCAATTTTTATCAATTTTATTGTTTTTTTTTATAAATCAACTTTTGGTTTTATTTATTTTTCTTTGTCCATTTCTATTTCATTGATTTATATTCTTTATTTTTTTACTCTTTCCATTTAATTTGTTTAATGTTTTCTTTTTAGCTAAATTTTATATGGAAGCTTAATTAATTTTTGAACTTTTCCTATAAGACAATTAAACTATAATTTCCCTTCCTAAGTACTGCTTTTATTTCAATTCATGTTTTATGTTTTCATTTTACTAAATTCACAATATTTTAGCTGGGCATGGTGGACTTGGGAGGCTGAGGCAGGAGGACAAGTTCAAGGTCAGCCTCAGCAACATAGTGAGGCTCTAAGCAACTTTGTAGACCCTGTCTTAAAATAAAAAATGAAAAGGACTGGAGATATAGCTCAGTGGTAAAGTACCTCTGGATTCAATCCCCAGTACCCTTTTTTTCCTCTCTCTCCATATATATTATATATAATATAGTATATATAATATATATTTTTATATATTTTATAATTTCCCTGGTGATTTCTGATTTCTTCTTTGATGATGAGTTATTTAGAAACGTGMTATTTTATTTGCAAATACTTTGAAGTTTAAAAAAGAACAAAAGTTTTTTTGTGATGGGGTCTCTCTATGTTTGCCAARGTTAGCCTCAAACTCTTTGGCTCAAGTGATCTTTGTCCCTCAGCCTCCCAAGTCRTTGGGACCACAGACACTTGCCACTGCACCTAGCTTCCTTCATRACCCATTTTGAGTTGGCTCAAAACGCTGTGCCAAATACTTCTTCCTTTGTCCACTGTTTCTAAATAAATGAGCCTCTTTGTTAATAGCCTGGTAATTAAAAAATAATTCTCATTTTATCCCATGAGATGGGGTAGGAAAAATGAATTCCATTCTCCCACCCTCCATTCTCTCCACTCATCTGGGTAGGTCAGAGCCTGATCTGAGGTGAGCAATTCAGTCAGAGTTTATGTGAGCAGTTTCACTGTGAGGAGAGAGAATTAAAGCCTGTGGGTGTCCCCAGACCCTTTCTCGCTGTCCTGGCCAACTCACTTCTCTCACAGTATAATCTTGGGAAGGTCATTTTCCTCCTTCTTARAGTAAGACTGAATGTTGGAAGAGTGGAAGAGGCTTCGTGACTGGTGGTTTGTAGCCAGTAGAGAGAGGGACAAGAGGGTCCTGCATATCCGTCATGCTTCCTGTCCTCTTCTTTTTTCCTTTCCTGTTGTTGCCCCTCACACTCCCTGATGTCATTCCTGCCATTGTGAGCTGACAGGCCCTCCCAGCCCTGGGGGACAGCCATAAGGAGGGAGGGAGGTAGAGCTGCAGGAGGTGGGGGAAGCAGTGGTCACAACAGCAACACCTTGGAGTTGGGCTGGGTCTGCAAGGAGCCCCAGAGATGTTCCCCAGCCCATTCTTCCCAAGAACCAATGAGTAAAATTAGGGGCCTCCCTCCTAAGGTCAGGGAACCAGGCCCTGGAGTAGCACTTGGGGTGGAAAATGGCCTTCTTTGTCGACTGATTCATTCTCCAGAATTCAACTTATTCTCCAACTCAGTAGTGTTTGAAAGCAACTTTATCCAGGTATCTCCATGCCTGTCAGGGCCACCTGTCTTCCCCTTCCTGAAACTGTTCCTAGGGGTTGTTCACAAGATGCTGTGGACTTTGAAAGCCCTGGGGTGGAGAAAGAAATCACCAAAGCCAGAACAAAGCAGAGGATCTGGGTCCAAAGTTCAACTTCAGTTTGTGTCTACAGCATGAGAGAGCTCCCTGCAGGCATGTGCTTTAAGGAACTAGACTCAAACCTTACAAGGAAGCCAGAGCTGTCTCCAGGTAGGACCACAGGTGCCCTTTCTGGGCCATTTGTCTGAAGTGGATGGTTTCAGGGAATGGAGGCCACTTTTGGAGTCCCTGCTCTGAGACCCAGCCTCTCTTTCTAAGATAGTTTAGAAACATCTATTTGAAAACAAGGCCCCTGGGCAGATTGGTCTTGTTTAGATTCTGCCAAGTTCCCACAGAGAGGTGATAATGACAGTGGAAGTGTGCATTCATGGCCTGGGGAAGCATGGAGCCACTGGGAGTAGTGTGAGGTGGTTGTTTGAATAGGCATCTGTTATTACCCAGGTCCTGCCTGACCTCCACAGACACTAGCCTGACCCTGTGTGTCTATGCTCCTTTGTAGTATGATAAAACCAATTAGCTAGGAAGCACATTCTCAAGGCCTATTGCATGCAGGGCAGAAGATGCCCAGAATATCAGGTAGTGTCTTGGGCTGAGAAAGCTTATATGTTTGGTCTACCCATCATAAAATGCTGTCTAAGTAAGCTCTGTGTTGAATAGTTTGGAACAACTGATCCCCAAGGCATGAGCACAGAGAACAGGTACCTGGAGCATCCAGAGCACCTCCTTTGAACTTAAACAGTTGGAAAAAGCTTTCCAGAAAACAGTGTTGTGAGTCACTCTTTGAGGTATTGCTGAGTCTTTGGTGAGCGGAAGAACAGGAGTGGGATGTATCTGGCATAGGAATTTCAAAGTATCTGGGTCAAGGCAGGAAGGCTGGAATTCACAGAGTCTGCAGGACCCACCCAGATGAAGTGAATAAGGGGCAAGGAATTGTAGGAGAGAAGGGGGGAACGTCTGGAGGTATGTCAGCGGCTTAATTTGGGGATTACTCACAGAACAATAAGCTACTTCCTATTGCAGTTCCAGAGTGGAGGAGCTGTGCTCAGGGGTCCTGGTGCTCCTCAGGGGGTCATGTACTTGGGGTCAGCTGGTAAGCCCAGGCAGAACTCATTGCTAACACTCTCGTGGAAAAGGAGCATTAACATGGACTTGGGRTCTGATTTCTAGTCGTTTCTCTTTGGATGTAGTGTTTTGGCAGCAGATTTGTCCTCTTAATATTTTCTAGTTGGTCTAATATTAAAACCATTTGGAATCTCTGAGTGGATACCAGGTGGCCTAATAGGCAGTAGGGAACTCAGAATGTGCCAGGGAAGATGGACCCATAGCAGAAGTCAAAGTTTACTTGTTGTGATTGAGCCCGAGATTAGTCATAACGCAGTGGTGCTGCCTCCTCTGTTCCTGCTGTCTACATCACCACCTTCACCTCAGAGCAGGTTCAGCTTTTATGGAACGCTACTTTCAATATGTGCTGTCCTCTATGTTTCGCAGGGAATACAAATTTCATTCTACAACATGGGATCCAAGAAATGTCACTTTTCCCCATAACATCAAAATTCATGTTTCTTTTTTCTTTTTTTTTTTTTAGTTGTAGATGGACACAACATGTTTGTTTATTTTTGTGTGGATCGAACCCAGTGCCTCACACATACTAGGMAAACTCTCTACCAACTGAGCTGCAATCCCAGCCCCAAATTCATTTTTCTAGGAGTACCATTTGGTCAGGCTGTTGGGAAATAAGTTCCTGTTATTCCTGGGGCCTTCTCCTTGTCCCCAAGAGCAGAGCAACAGTCTTGGTGACTTTACAAAGTCTAAAATGTTGGGAGAAGGCTTAGTGTCTTGGGAACATAGGTGTCTCTCCTCATTTGTACCTTACCTTGGTCCCTGTGTCTCCTTAGTGGCCACGGCTCTTATGCCTTTCTGTCAGTGAACTGAGACATTGTGTCCCAGTGCCCGGCATCCATCCAGACTTTCTGTCCTGGCATGCCCCCACTTGCTTCAGAACAAGTCATATGGCACTCAAGACCTAGCAACAAGCTGCTCCTTGTGCTGAGGAAAGCTCTTGAATCTCCCTCCACTTGAGTTGTCTGGGTCTTCTCCCTTTGACATCTCTTCCCTTTCTCCCCTCCTCTTCTGGGACTTTCTTCACAATAACTCCCTTTCAAGTCATTAGAAGCCAGTGCTGGCTTCTGCTAACCAAGGAAGAGAAGATAAAATTTCAGTGCCACTTAACTTTTTTCTTACATCTTTTTACAGTTAGGAAATGCTACACAGGGTTCCTGTAGCCAGAGAGCTTAAAGACTATTTGCAGAGACCAATAAAAAGGACTAATAGTAGATCATGGCCCAACCCAGTATGCTCTACACCTGTCACAAGCTGAAGTACTGTTTTCTGTATCCTCCTACCCTTCTGCTCCTTTCTGATCCATGTTCCTGGGGCTGATTTCCAGGTCAATAAACCCACAGACTGGATGGATGTCTGGGAAGGWTCTACCCCCATCATTCTTGGGGTGACGTCCTCAGTGCCCTCCTTGCCACTCCCCAACGTCCTCCTGATGGCCAATGTCACCTGGCCCCAGAATCAGTTTTCTACCTGGAACACACCTCGTGTCCCAGTCATCACACTGAGCAGGTAAAGGCTGGAGGGAGGGACTAAAAGTGGTAGGAGGTTACAGCTGTTCTGCAGTTAGATTTCAGATGAAAAGAAAGAACAGTGTTCTTCAGAGTGACCCTCATTCATTCATTTAATAAGCATTTAGTATCTAAATATAATAAGCATTGTGTATGGTGCTGGGGGTGAAGTTCCTGTCTCAAGTTGTTGAGGATTTTGTCTTCCTTTTGTTTAGTTTAATTTTTTTGCAATATGGAGGTTCCCCAAGAAAAGATAGAGATATGAAAGTAAAATCTGACTGTAATGTGTTAAGATTGAAAAGAAAATACTGACTATATAGGAGACATCCATCCTTGTCCTTACCCTCTCAACACAGATAATCACAATGTAGGGAGAAAGCCTGGAGATGGAGTCAGAAAAACCTTGTTCCAGTTCCCATTTGAGCAAACTGATAAGACTTCCCAAATCTCAGTTTTAAAATCCGTAAAGTGGAAGTACAACACTTATTTTTCCTCCATCAAAATGTTGCTGTGGGAATTAAATGAGATATTACATTGTTATTGATGTGGGCAGATTGGTTAACAAAAGTCCTGGTAGTCAAAGAGGAGTCATCCCCACTCTCAGAACACAAGCTTTCTCGCCTCTGTATTCCCAAGCAGTGGTGGGAGGCACCAACATGGGAATTTCCTGATTATGCCCAGGATTCTCCCCCTGAAGTATGTGGAGCTACAAATCTATGACCGGACCCAACGTATTCTGCGACTTAGAACAGTGACAGAAAAAATCTACTACCTGAGGCTCCATGATAAACATCCAGAGGCTGTGTTTCAATTTTGGATCCGCTTGGTGAGAATTCTACAGAAAGGTCTATCCATCACCACCAAAGACCCAAGAATCCAATTCACTCACTGCCTGGTACCCAAGATGCCTAGCCCCTCCACTGAAACAACAGTAAGTAGGCATCCCTCCAAGGTCTGCAGTGAAATAAAAATAAATGTAGATGTGTCTGTATGCACACACATAATATACATATGTACAGAGGCACAGTGGCCTTCCATATCTGCAGGTTCCATATCCATGGGTTCAACCTCAGAAATATTTGAAAAATAGATGCTGGGCTGCATTCAGTCTGGCCCATCGACTGACTTCCTCTCTCCTCTCATCCCATTCCATTGACACTGGCCCATAAAGCTCCTTGAAATTTTTCCCTCAGAACTTTGCACTTGCTACTTCCCCTGCCTGGAGTTTTTCCCCAGATTTCTATAGGTCTGTTCTCTCAGCTCTGTTAGATCTTCGTTCAAGGGTCGTCTTTGCAGTGAGGCTCTCTCTGACAAGACTCCATATTCCCTTCCCTTGCTTCCTTCCAGTTGGATGCATGTTACCTTAGACCACATAAAAACTTATTTATTATTTTACCGTTTGTCTCTGAAATAGAATGTGAGGGCAGAGATTTCTTTTTGTCAATTGCGGGTTGGGCTATAAAAGGGTAAGATAGTATATATTTTAGACTTTCTGAGTCATAGAGTCTTTGCACAACTATTCATCTCCACTGATATAGAGCACTGAAGGATATAAGGAAGCAAAAGGGCATGAATGTATGTGTTCCAATAGAATTTTACAAAAACAGGTGGTWGACCAGATTTTGGTCTAGGGACTAAGATTTGATGAACCTTTGTCTAATGTGTTCATTGTTTTATCTTCAGTGCCTACAGTTGTGCCAGATAAACAACTGGTCCTCAGTATTTTTTTTTTCTGCTTTTGGACTGAGCTAATAACTAAAATGGAATTCAGTGTAATTTTTTGAAAAGTTACAAATTAGGAAAACACCATGATTGCTTTCATTACTACACTTTTAGATAAATATCAAATCAAAACTGTGAGGTTAATTATGTCTTAGGCTCTAGTGATTTTTTTGCTTTTGCTATTATTTTTGTTAATGCTGTAATAGAGTACACACATACACGACTTTATAAGTAGTTTGAAATTATTTTGCTCAGAAAAATTTAAAGTTTTAGATATGTAAAAAGAATAACAAAGCAAATGATTATTTTTCCACCGCATAGAAATAACAATGAGCAATAATTTACAATACTGGGCTGGGGTTGTGGCTCAGCTGTAGAGTGCTCACCTAGTATGTGAGAGGCCCTGGGCTCGATCCTCAACACCACATAAAAATAAGTAAATAAATAAAACAAAGGTATTGTGTCCAACTACAATTGAAAAATAAATATTTTTTAAAATAACTTACAATATTTTTTCAAGTCTTTTTTTTCAAATGTTGATGGACTTTTATTTTATTCATTCATTTATATGCAGTGCTCAGAATCAAACCCAGTGCCTCACCCATGATAGGCAAGCAGTCTACCACTGAGCCACAACCCCAGCCCCTCAAGTCTATTTTTTTAATGAATAAAAGGTTGCAGGTTAATTGGAAATCCTTTTTGAGCACCTCTAGTCCTAGTTATCTTTCCGCTCCCTAGGGGTAACCTATCATCATGAGTTTGATGTAACCTTTCTGATCCATGATATTATTCTTCTGCTCTATGTAATTTGAGATATATCTCAATGTTAAGTTTAAACACCTGTCCTTGGTGTATGTATGTGTAGTTCATTATTTTCAATTGTTGTTAATGCTAAATTTCATTATGTATAGACAACATGAAATAAAATATTTTCATTTTCCAAATGAAAATATTTACAAGGACAAAACTTGCAAAACCATTTATCGTATTATAGGGCAGTCTTAATCATTTTTTTTAGATTGTGCCTACTGAAGCCCAGTGTTGCTCAAGTCTTTTACCCAATAAAATAATTTAAAACAAACAAAAGAATTTGGAATAAGAAATTGTATCTGGCCAGGTGTAGTGGTGCAGGCCAACCTGAGCAACTTAGCAAGACCCTGTCTCAAAATAAAGAAGGCTGGGGATGTAGCTCAGTCCCTAGTACTGTGAAAAGAAAGAGAGAGAGGGAAGGAAAGGGAGGGAAGAGGGGAAGGAAGGGAGGGAGGAAAGAAAGAGGAAAGGAAAGGAAGAAAGGAAGGGAGAAAGAATGAGGGAAAAAAGAAAGAAGAAATAATAAATTGTGTCTGTAGTGAACATATCACACATTTTTTTTGTCATTTTTCCCCAAACAATATGGTCTATTTACATAGAATTTACATTGTATTAGGTATCATAAGTAATCTATAGATGATTTAAAGTAGGAGGACATGTGCAGATGATATGCAGTATTGTGCTATTTTATGTAAGGGACTTGAGCATCCATGGATTCTGGTATTGGGGTCCTGGAACCAATCCCCATGGATACTGAGGCACAAGTGTGTATATTGGTGAATGCTGTTTTTTTCACTTTAGATTATATTATAGGATTTTTTCCATGTCATAGAGATTCTGTATCCTTATCACAATAGAGTAATGATAAGTCTTAACAAATTTTCTCATATGATGGGTAAGAATGTGGCAGATGGATAAGAATGTGGCATTAATTTCAAGGAGTCTGAACATTGTTACTTGTGTATTTGTGTTTTATTCCTTTTTTTTTTTTGCATTAACTGTTGTGTTCCTATTTAATTTTTTAGTGGTGCTGAGAATCAAACCCAGAGCTTGCTCATACCAGGCAAGCGCTCTACCATTGAGCTACTTCCCCAGATCATGGGGTGATTTTTGACACCTTTGCAGCCTTTCTAGGACCTGCCTAGTGTAGAAGCACAAGAAAGAAAGCTTGATAGATTATATTTCCCTAAACCTTGGTATTTCAGAACCTGAATCCTTGCCTCCTCTCATTATGTGGTATAGTTTAGGTGACTTATCACGGACTTTGAAAGTCAGCCATTTCGACCACAAGATCTTGTGTTTTGGACCAAGTAGCCTCTAAAACCCATCAGAGACAGGATACAGTCCTTACAGGCATCCTGTGTTTGGTCTGATGATTCTAGGGCTGAATGCTGAAGGAACAGATTTCCAGGATTAGGCTGTGAAACTCATGTATAAGCCCACAAATTCCTTCAAGGTTATGCCTGGGGAGTCCAGGGATTCTCAGGAGCAGCCTGGCTTTCTGACATGCATTTCTCCACACAGCCTGAATGCAGCCTCTCATCATCCTCCCAGACCAGTGAGACCCTCAGGCTGCTGGCAGCTGAGCAGAAGAGTGGCAGTTGCTTGGGACTCTCTACAAGGACCCAGCTCACATCAAACAGGTGGGTCCAGTTTGGTCAGCTCCATTGTCCCTTCCTCCTGCATGGAGTCACAGGGTCACTGACAACCTCTACCAACTTTCCTTTTATTCTGAATAGTCATGCACATGACTCCACTTTGTTGTAAGCCCATCCTTGAAAATAGAGTCTGTAGGGGCTGAGGCTGTTGCTCAGTGGTAGAGCACTCACCTAGCACAGGTGAGGCACTGGATTCGATCCTCAGCACCACATAAAAATAAATAAATAAATAAAAATAAAGTCATTGTGTCCACCTACATCTAAAAAAATACTTTAAAAAGGGGGGGTCTGTGGTATTCAGGTCTCTTTGATCTGACTGTTCATTCCCTAGGCAAACCACAGTGTTTTCATATGGCAGGTGCTTATTAATAAAAGGGATGAAGGATGAGTAAATTAAGCTTAAGAAACATTCTTAATAACCCCRGTTCATAGAGTTAGCTATTGACTCTCTTTGTCCCAGCTTAAAAGAGTTACTTGGGAAGATGCTACTTCTCTTTGCCTCACCCATGTCTTCTGTCAAATGGACAGAACAGACAGTGACCCATAGGGGAGATATCTCTAGCTCCAATGTTTTATTAATTTGCTAATTATATTACATTTTTTGGTAACATGCAATAGAAATCCACAGCAAGTGCAACAATATGTTGAATGAGTATAGCTTATAGTTGGGCACAGTGGCCCACACCTGGAATCCCAGCTTCTTGGGAAATTGAGGCAAGAGGAGGTTAAGTTTGAGGCCAGCCTGGGCAGTTTGACAAGACCCTGTCTCAAAGTTAAAATTAAAAAGGGCTAGGGATGTGATTCAGAGGCTTAGTGCCCCTGGGTTCAATCCCTAGCTCTACAAAACAAATAAAAGTAGAATTTGTAGGATATTATCAAGATGCAAACTTTTTTGGGGAGGAGGGTACCAGGGATTGAATTCATGGGTACTCAGCCACTGTGCCACATCCCCAGCCCTATTCTGTATTTTATTTAAAGACGGGGTCTCTCTTAACACCTCACTTTTGCTGAGGCTGGCTTTGAACTTATGATCCTCCTTCCTCAGTCTCCTGAGCTGTTGGGATTACAGGCATGTGCCACARTGCCCAGCACAAACTTATTTTAAAAAAATATATTATTTTAGTTATTGATGGAACATTATTTATTTGTATGTTGTGCCGAGAATTAAATCCAGTGCCTCACGCATGCTAGGCAAGCGCTCTACCACCCCAGCCAGCCCCACAAAGTTATTTTTATATTGATTTTTTTCAGTGGGAGAAGTTTTCCTTTTGCTAAAGGATAAAAACTGCTTTTCTTGGCAGTCCCCATAGCATATGGATCTCTGTGTGTGCATGTGTGTGTGTGTGTGTGTGTGTGTGTGTGTGTGTGTGATCCCTTTAAATTGCAAAAGTGGCCTCAATTCTGAAATTAGAATGTCCAATGCCTGAAGATTTCAAGACACTAAATTTATTACTTTATTACTCCTCTTTCTCTTTACTACCTTAACCTGGCCCTTTGTCAAATTGTCCTTTCCTAGTGGTAGACTGGCAGACTGAGTTGTCACTCTTTCTAATGCTTTAAGGTGACTCTTAGGAGCTTGTTTTCTCCCTTCCTTTGTCCCCCTCTTCCCCAGTACGGGAGATCAAACTCAGGACCTTAGCATGCTAGGCAAGTGCTCTCCCACTGAGCCACATCCTTTTTGAAAATTTTTCATTTTTGAGACAGGGTCTGGCTAAGTTGCCAGTTTGTTTTTTTTTCTATTGCTTTCAATGACCCTGACATTTCTGGTTTCGCATAGATATACCCAAACTGCCAACTTAAGCTAATTTGCTTAAGTTGCTGGCCTTGAATTTACCTTTCTCCTATTAGCCTTCCAAGTATGAAATTATATGTGTGAGCCACTACCTGCAGCTTTTGGGTTCTTTAGAGTCCCTCTCTTTAATTGCAACTCTGGAAATATTGTGATATCTCCCTTGTATATGGCCACTCCTTTCCCTCAGGGTCTGGCTCTACAGATGTCCTTGCCACCAAGCACCAGTTGTCAGCGTGCCCTCTTGGGTAGGACTTGCAACTGCTTCATGCTGGTATACCATCTGTCTGTGTGTCTCTGGCTGGTACTCCCCACATCTGGTCCTCAGGAAATGTCCTCTTGTACAATGACCAGCCACTTGGAGGAGGACCGTGCTTCCTTGATAGTAGCAGCTTGTTACTGCACAAAGAAAGAAGCCCYTGTCTCATCTCTCCTGCCCTCCCTGTGCCTGGTCCAAAATGTGCCCCATCTAAAGTGTCTCCAGATCTTAGGACCACAGCTCCAGCTTTTGGGTGGCCTCAGGAAGGCCCTCCCTTTAGCCAGTCACTCTTTGCAAACGACGCCCTGGGCACAGGGCCAGCCCTTGATTCCCAAAGCTGGAGAGTCCCACTGGCAGCCCACTTCACACTCCCTTCTCTGGTTGGGGATTTGGGGTTCCTGGGATTATTTGATTTGTAAACTYAATAATGCACTTAAAATTACATTTCATATCTTTTATCCAGGCATTTTGTAGCAAAGAGGCCTTTAGATATTTTAGCCGTATTGCCAGTTTTTAGCTTTTAACTAAATTCTAAAATTATCTTCACTTAAAAGAACTCATTGCATTTATCTCTGAATAGTCACAGTGTGAGCAATTTTTACTTTCTTTTCAGTGTTCTTTTATAGTTTTTGTGTTTTTCTCTTAATCATCTATATCACCACTGAGCCACATTCATAGCTCTTTTTTTTAGAGTCAGCATCTTGCTTAAGTTGCTGAGGCTGACTTTGAACCTGCAATCCTTCCTGTCTCAGTCTCCCAGGTCACTGGGATTACAAGTGTATGTAACAGTGCCTGACACCCCCAACTCTTTTTATTTTTTATTTTTGAGACAGAGTCTTGCTAAGTTGCCTAGGCTGGTCTTGAACTTCCAATCCTTCTGACTCAGCCTCCCAAGTCACAGGGATTATAGGCCTGGCATAAAATGGTTTTTAAAGTAGAATTTTAACCATGTTTTTTTTTCCATTGCTTTCAATGACCCTGACATTTCTGGTTTCCCATAGAAACACCCAAACTGCCATTGAAATAGGCAGTTGCCACAGCTATAAGAAACCCTCACTGGTGACATCTCCATTCAACTTGAATATACCCATGAGAGCCACCTTGAACCACAGCCTCTGGGAACAAGAAGATCCAGACGAGCATTTCCTACAGGTTCCTGTAGCCAGTTCCCTAGGAGAGAACTTTCTGGGCCCCTGACACCTAGCTAAAATGGGGTGATCATCCTTGATGTCTGTGCAGCCTCTAAGGCTGTTCACCACGGTGCCAAGAGACATGGGTGGGGTAAGATGGAGTTACTAACAACGTGCTGCTGTACTTCCACCAATAAACCTCCATGTGAGTCCCTCACTGTTTGTTGGTTGTTCCATGGGGAGATTCTAGGCTGGGGAACAGGAGCTTGCTCTGTGGGAAATGAGAGGTAAGAGAGTTGAAACCCCAAAGCAACTTCCTTTCTCAAAGGGATAAGTAGGTACACAGGAAGGGCTTGGCTACAAGCTCAAAGTTAAAGAAATCCAGAGGATGATGGTGACCAACTGGGAGATACCTCTGTGTGACCCTACTTATCTCGAGTAAAAAATTGAGTCTTCATTTCCCCACTCCCTGTATTAGTGTAAAAGGTGTAAAGGGTCATCCTGGGCCATGAAGACTTAGATTGCTAATGAAGACATGGCTTCTGGGAAGGAAGATGTTACCTATGTATCACTGCAAGCCCCAATCGAATTGACTATCATATTTCTATCCAGGACCTAATGAAAGTAGACTGAGTGACATTGTGTCTTTGCATATTGGGGTTGGGGCAGGAGTTTTGGCCACCCTCTGCACAAGTAAGAAATATTTATTCAGAAAATTCCAGCACACTGCGGATCAGAAAGTCACAAAAATGGCATTTTTCTCCTAATTTTAACAATTGATATACCTTGCTTTAGTCTCTAAGAATACTCATTACATATTATGCCAGATTATAAAATACTTATTTTTTAAATGAAATCTATATATTGACTTTCTTATCAATTATCTTATTGTGCAAACAAAATTAGAAATACTTGGTTTAAAAACAACACCTAAGGGACCTCCAGATAACTTTTAAGAACTTATTTAGCTTTGTGGGTGGTAAAAGGGTTTAATATTTTGTAGAAGTTTGGTCATATTTTAATGGTCGTTGTATGGCAGTATGTACAAACTGTGTTAAGTTCTTCAACAATCTCTCCTTTAAAACTTTGAGGTTAATACTTTTGTGCAACTGTGTTTGTGGATAAAGCCAAGAAAGTGTTAAAAAGAAAACAACAACAACAAAGAAAATGCCAGCACACTATTCAATAAGTATTTATCAAGTTCCTGTTTGTGTCAGACACTGTACCTGATGCTGAATGTGTTATATCAGAGAAGACACAACAGACGGTCAAGTTACCTGTCATCAGGGAGGGTATAGGAGAAATATAGAGCTCTGTTTTGGAGACAGAGCAAGGCCATTAAAGCTGACATGATGTTTGAGCCACTTAATGTACAAATAAAGGCTGGAGGATCTGCCTTCCTGTAGTTCACATCCTGAGTGATGCAGAGAGAAATAACTCGATTTCCCTCCCTCTTGTGCTTGCTTAGTTGGGCTAAGTGGTAAATCCAGGCTAGACTGAGCCAGAAGAGATAGCTGAGGGGATGCCTAATGGTTGTGGGTTTCTTCCTGCTTCTGTTAAAAATACAAACATAACAAATTTCCTTTGACATATTATAATCAAATAAGCTGAGCATTGTTGGTGCTGGTGAGAGACATTTAGAAGCTGAAATGAGAAGGGACTAATGTGGAAAGTTCCTGTAATTCCCAATTTATGTCTATTGTCCTACTATTACTGTATATCTATTTATCTCCTAATTGTTCCTGTATGGATAAATTGTATGAATACCCTATGAACATGGTATGTGAATGAACATTTAAAGGGTCTCTGGCCCYATTTCTGTGGCTTGGGTTTAAGCTTATATTAATTCTCAGCTAGACTGTTGAGATTATCCTAATTGGTCTCCCAGGCTCCATCATCACCATAACAATATAGCTTATTAGAAACTTTCTATGTGCCTAACACTATGCTAAGGCTGTACAGTTATCACTCAGTATACACCACAACTCACTGGGAGGTAGCTACTCATTACATTTTATAGGTGATACATGTGGGCACAGAGAGACTAAACAACTTTCTTGARATTACATACAGGTAGTAAGTAGCAAAGCCAGGTCTTGAATCCAGTCTTCAAAGCCCACACTCTTAATATTCCTCTAGGCTTTTCCCAGTCCAYCCCCTTTCCACACCTCTAACACAGCAACCTTTCTGAAACACACATATAACCAGAACTTCACTTCAATAAAACTGAACTCTTTGACATGAAATGACCAGGACCCTGCCAATATTTCAGCCTTTCCACTGGACACCATTTCATTTGAACTTTATGCTCCCATAACACCAAATTTATTATGGTTTCCTAAGTACACCATGTTTATTGTTGTTGTTTGGTTTTGTTTTGGTTTGGTTTGGTTTGATGTTTTGGGGTACTGGGGATTGAACTCATGGGCACACAACCACTGAGCCACATCCCTAGCCCTCTTTTGTATTTTATCAGAGACAAGGTCTCATTGAGTTGCTTAGGACCTCACTAAATTGCTGTGGCTGGCTTTGAACTTGTGAATCCTCCTGCTTCAGGCTCCTAAGCCACTAGGAGCCACTGGGATTACAGGTGTGCACCACTATTCCCRGCTTAAGTGCAATGTGTTTTTAGATACTGCAATGATGTTGCATCTACCAAAGTCACTTTCCCTTGCATTTTCTCTCCATTGCCCTCAAGATACTTTTCCTTGTTGACAGAGCTTTTCTGTATTACTTATGTGCCCTGTGTGTGCCTTGTATTATAGCATTTCTCACGTTATTGTAGTTATTTGTTTACATGCCTGTCTCCTTTGTGAAACTGCAAACTCTTTGAGAACAGATATCATTTGATATCAGAATGCTTTGGTTGCAAGTAAAAGAARCTGACGACTGTAACTAACTTAAACCCAATGGATTTCACTGGAAGGATGTGGGTTGACTCACAGAACCAAACGGACAACTGAAGAGTCAGTCTTAGAATGCAGTGACACCAGAATGGGTCTGGGAATCAGGGAGAGGCGGCTGATTGATCATCACATCAAATGCTTCAGCAGGCCAATTGTTTTCCTCAAGAGTGTTAAAAGAAAACAAACAGGAATGGGTGTCTGGTTGCTAATAATAACAAGTATCCACTGTACTCACCTGTCGGAGACCAGCTCCAACAGGGGGTCTCAGGAGACGAACGGATGGTGAGGAGTCGGCGAAAGAGGGGGTGGAGAAACAACACAGACACCAAAGTGAAGGTGTTGATCCCAATCTTTACTTGTGAAGTTGATCATATATACTTTTCATTTTGGCAGGCTTACAGTACTTTGTGGTTACAAAACAGTAATCATTATTCAAAGAAACAAAATATTACGTAGTTACAATTAGAATAGAAGAATGTATC